CATGGGTATGCTCAAAAGGCTGGAAAAGCCTCCCTTGATGTGCCCGATGGCATTGTTGCTCGCATTGATCCCGAGTTGGATGAAATTCGGTACGGAAATGTTGATGCGGGCACAAGTGTAGCAAACATCAATGCCCTAACTGTGCATCTCAGTGATAAGTGGAAAGTTAAGCTGATGGAAGACAATCAGGCCACGATCACTATCCTGCAGCAGGGACACTCACAGAAGCTAAGGCACACGGATAGGACCCAACGCATTAGCTTTAGATGGCTCCAGGAGCAATTCGTGAATAGGCAGTTCGAACTAATCAATGTTGACACTACCCTCCAAGCTGCAGACATCTTGACCAAGGCGTTTGACAGCACCCCAGTTTGGCACCATGCACTTGAGCTGATCGGAATCTCCCCCAGTCGCCAGGCGCGAGCCTGTGCCACCAGTTTGCTGCTCTCCCCATGCGCCAAGGCCGGAGAAGTTAGTGATCAGGGGGGGCAGATCGCTGCGTTATGCAACGTTCAGCCCAAGCGCCTCCTTATTGAATTCTGTTGTTCGACGACCTCACGGTTGGGCGAATCAAGAGACTCTTCAAAAGGTTGCCGTGTCATTCGGGTAACTGAAACCGAAGACGGGTGCTCCGATACGTGCAGGCAGTGGTTAGGCCGTGAAATCGCCGAATTCAGGAGCAAGAATCCTAAGGGCGCAATAATGTTCTACGTCTCGTTGCCATGCACTGGAGGTTGCCCGTGGGGTTATGTCAACCAGCAAACTCCCAAAGGTGCTGCCAAGATTGAGGGCCACATCAAGCAATTCCGATCACTGTTGAGAGGGTTCAAACGCATTCTCAATGATGTTTATTCAAATGACATTAGAGTTGCTTTCGAACTCCCAAGGCGTGTCGTTATTGGAAATGGCCTGAACTATGGAGTTTCTTAACTAAGTACAAGATGAACAAGTATGAATTCCATGGTTGCAAAATCGGTATCAAAGGGAGAAATGGAAAACCCATGAAAAAGCAATGGGTCGTTGCCAGCAATATGCCCACTATTTCCGTTGTTGAGTACTTCAAATGTGATGGTTCTCACGAGCATGATGAAAGCCGTGGCACCCACTTGAAGGAAGCCGAGGGATACACGTACATTTACACTGATGCCGTTCACAATGCATTTTCCGAACATGCCACCATGCAGCCGTTGCTTTCGAGTGATTGTGCTGCATTGTTTTCGCAATGAGCGGCCCAACGGCTATGGCGCATCCCGCGAGGGATTGCGATCCGGCATGGAGGAGGTGGATGGAGAATGTTGCTACCACATCGGTATGCACGAACGGCAAGTACGACGCTAACCTCGCCGCTACGGTCAAGGGCCTCCTGGAGACGACCTCTGCACAGTCGCTTATTCATACATGGGTGCAGGACCAACCGCATTATTTGCAGTTGCTTACACCCCTGTTAACTATAAGCGAACCTTATTTGAAGGTTGTGCAGGCCCCACGTGTACCAGATCGCGACCTCCTTATCTATTTGACTGTCGCTGACTCAGGACTTTCAATGGTTTCGGGCAAGAAGAAGAAGCTTCGCAAGTATGACTTTGCAGAACGCTTGGATGCTTCTCGCCCGGCGCGTGTCGGTGCATGGAGGTCAGAAATGCTTTGGGGCAAGGGCTTACAACAGCTGTGCAAGCGCATGGCCGCCCTTATCGACGAGGTGCGTACGGACTACCCAACGGCGACCATCGTTCCGATGATTTATTGGAACGGCAATGAGCTTGTTGGGAAGGACGGCATTGAGCCCAGCGGCACCTACCCGTTCGACCACCCCGCCGGCGAGGCCAGTCAGTTGCTGGCAGACACCAAGAGGCACCTGGCTTGGACCAGGGATTTCGCGGCCCGCAAGGGCTGCGCATGCCTTGGAGTCATGACCGGCGCGAAAAGCTATCTCTACGGCTTCTCTATGATTTGGGACCGTTACATGACGGAAGTCCGGGATTACATCATCGGCGACCCCAATCATATGTTTGTGTACGTAGATGCTACACCCTTTGTTGAGACCATCGATTTGCTGGACAGGTATCATATGTGCTTCAGTGACGACAACATCACGAAGACCGTCCAGTTCATGCGCGGAACCCATCACATGTTGTATATGCTTTCTATCTTGCGCCCCGCAATGGGCAGCGTAGCCGAGCTGACACGTTCGCACGACTGTACCGTGCGTCCGATCGATGTGCTCGAGGTGCGCCACCAAGAAGATTGCACAGTCAACGTTGAGGTTCTCGCGTACTGCAAGGAGACGCTAACGAAGTGCGGTGTTTCTTTGTCAGAGATGATCGGGCTCCCTTTCACCCGTGAAGAAGTGGAAGTCCGGCAGCCTCTCGATTTCGCCCTTGTCAACCCAGCCGAGTTTGCAACTTCAGGTGAGCCTTCCGGTGCAGATGTTTCCGAAAGTGTTCGCCCGGCGCAAGCCGGTGCAAAAGCGGCTGCGGTGGCAAAGAGGGACGAGGCGGCGAGCAGGCCGGTACCACTCGACTCCTACGGGAGGAGCGTGACTGGGGGCCACTTTGACTGCTGGGTGTATAGCATTCATGATGGCGTGAAGTATGTCGACTACGGCGAGGGCCCCAAGAGACTCGACATCATCAAGCAGCCCTCTTTCGATTACGACCCTTCCGTCAGGAGAATCAGTGACGAATACCACCGTTCCCTGACGTGCATCTCCAAGATCCTCCGTGGTCGTGGAACAGAAGGATGCGGGTATGTGATGGATGAGGACGGCTACATGGACCTCGAAGACCTGGGACTCGCGCTTCGCAAGGAGCTGAAGCCGGTGCGGAGACGTCCCATGTTCTCATTGGCTGTTCAAGCTGAAGGCCTCCCAAGGCCATGAGGACTGGCTCCAGATCGACGACTCCGGCATCGCGAAGGAGTGGTACGTGAACCCGGGGACTGACCTCGGGCGCTGGTCTGGCTGGAATGTTTGCAGCAACCCTCCTACGGTGCTTTATCACCGCACTGATAAGCGAAACTTCGCTAACATCATGCGGAACGGACTGCTTCCAGGTGGAGGGGACCAGCACAAGACAGGCAGACCTCACGTTTTCTTCGCTGACGTCCCCAGCACGAATGAAAATTACATCTCAGGTGTACGTGCGAACAAACCCCTGGAGATACAGATCGACCGCAGAATGGCCATTCGCGCAGGGCTTTGCTTTTTCAAGACGGAGAGCGACGGCGTCCTTACGCGCGACAAGGTGCCCAACTACACGATTATTTCTGTATTGGACGCTACAAATGGCGATGTATGGTACACTCGCTCCGAGCAATCGGATGCAGGTGCACCAGCTGAGGCGACTGAGGATGATCCCCAGGGAATGAGGCGCGACCAAGCCGTGGTTGATGATCGTTCAACAGCGCTGGAACGTATTGCTACAACGCGCACAAATGTGGCCTCTCCTCGCGCCCCGCAAGGGGAAGCGAAGAGACAGAAGACTTTCAACCCAATGGAGAACGTTGAGCTGAACGTCGCCACGTGCCCGGTTTGCAACAACAGTGTATTCGAGGGGCAGGTGCACTGCTCATTATGTGGGCAGTTGTCTCCCCTCAACCCACGCCTGTTGAAAGAGCAGCAGAAGAATTACATTGTGCAGCGTTCCAATCTGCTGAAGAAGATGGGCCTCAGCACCCACGTCACAGCTCAGGTCCTGGCATCTGTGGGAACAGTTGACCTCCGCGAGGAGGATCGTAGCAGCATCATTCGTGGCTTGAACTCCCCGGACAGTGCTGTCATTCAGGAGGCACGGAAGAAGCTCAAGTCCGCCCTGAAGAACGGCTACCACTCTCTGCTTGACCGCTATGAACTCGACCTTCAATACAGGGTTCGTATGCTTGAGGTGGGCCGTCGGGAGGCGGACATGCTCCGCATGGAGTTGAGCGCAAATCTCGTCTTGGCTGCTCCAAAGCAGTCGCAAGCCCAGCGCACTCTGGGAGTTGGCCTTGGATCAACTTCGGAGTCGCGAATCGCAAGGCTCGCGTATATCAAGACATAGTTGGAGTTCCTGCCCAACGAACTTCAAGATGCGCTTTCCTCTCGCTGGATCATAATGTTCCAAGGGATGCCTTACAGCCCAAGAGCTTTCATCAACGTGGTCTTTGAGCAAGACAAGCCTCGCAGCATTGGTTGTTGGAATGGCATCATCCATCTGCGAAGCAACACGTTGGACGACCTCCGCAACGAGATGGACTGGATTTTCAGCCAGAATGAGCGGTATGCACGTAACTCGATCGAATTTTCGAGGAACGAGAGCAGCAAACACCTTGCTCGCAATGCCGCTCGCTATGCCGAGACAAGTGCTCCCGCCGCCCGCGAGGGTGAGCATTGGAGCCAAGGCAGCTGGCAGAATTGGTCCGGATGGAGCGGATGGGGCAACAGTAGCGGTAGCTATTCGACTTGGCAGTGGCGCTGAAAGCGCAACTGTCATGGTTTGCATGTAACAATGGTTCCCCTGACCTTCTCCCTCTGTTGTGTTACTGTTTGGCTGCTTTGTGAAAGGCCCCTTTAACACGCAGAGGGGGGTGAAGAATTTGATCGGTCAGTATGGGGTTTTACATCCATTGCATCCGCAGTGTGGCTGTTCAAGCGTGAAAATGTGCGAGCAGCGCACTTGGACGGTTTGTTGTTTCCTTTTGGGCCCCAAACCGGTAACCCTTGAATCTATACAAACTGGGGTCATTACTCAAGTTAAGGGCTTATGACCCCTTTTCCTAGGGCTCATTACTTAGTTGAGCGCTATTTATCCACCGATGCCGCCAGATCAAGCACATCAGATCACCCTTTCCAGCCAAACCAGAGCGGCACATACATCGCCAGGCTTGACTTGTTTGCTCTTTTGCCCTGAGTTTTCCCTCATTTTCCCTTTCAACCGGGCAAAGACAGATCAAATCTGCCCCAAGACAGCCCTCTCGCCAGCTCCTTGCGGGTTTTCTCCCTCCCTTTTTTCTGGCCATGCGAGGTCCGAGCACCACGTGATCCACGAGCTCAAGGGGTAGCTCGGATCTTTGGGTTTTCCAAGACTCGGGTCAGGGCATCCGAGAAGCTCTGCCACTGGTCTGCCCCCGCTGGGATGTTTGGTTAGGATTGAGAGGTTTTGGTTAGGATAAAGAGGTTTCAATCGAGGCATAATACTGTGGATGGACGTTCTCCTGCACCACTTTGAAACCATGGGGAGCCATTGTTTGCTGGTATTTGCAGGAGAATCATCATTCCAGGGTTTCTTGGGTGGTGCAGAATTTTGCCCATCCACTGTATGTCTACAACTTTAGAGCCTCCGGCTCAGTCCGCCGACATTGTCCTCTCCCTTTTCTCCTTCTGCCTCTCTCCCTTGTCTCCCTTGTGTGTTCTGTCGTCCTCTCTCCCTCCCTCTGCTCCCCATCCTCCCCATCCCCCCAAGCCTCTCCATGCCCAGTCTCCCTCTCTGGTATGTATGTATGCATATATATATATGTGTATGTCTGTCTGTCTGTCTGTCTGTCTGTCTGTCTGTATGTATGTATGTATGTATGTATGTATGTATGTATGTATGTATGTATGTATGTATGTATGTATGTATGTATGTAATGTATGTATGTATGTATGTATGTATGTATGTATGTATGTATGCATAATGCATGACATGTATGTAATGTATGTAACAGACAGACAGACAGACAGACCGACAGAAGCAGACAGACATTACACATATATTTATATATGCATACATACATACCAGAGTGGGAGACTGGGCATGGAGAGGCTTGGGGGGATGGGGAGGATGGGGAGCAGAGGGAGGGAGAGAGGACGACAGAACACACAAGGGAGACAAGGGAGAGAGGCAGAAGGAGAAAAGGGAGAGGACAATGTCGGCGGACTGAGCCGGAGGCTGTAATGTAATGTAATGTAATGTAATGTAATGTAATGTAATGTAATGTAATGTAATGTAATGTATGTATGTATGTAATGTATGTATGTAATGTATGTATGTATGTATGTATGTATGTAATGTATGTATGTATGTAATGTATGTATGTATGTATGTATGTATGTATGTATGTATGTAGGTATGTAATGTATGTATGTATGTATGCATGTATGTATGTATGTATGTATGTATGTATGTGTGTAATGTATGTATGTATGTATGTATGTATGTATGTATGTATGTATGTATGTATGTATGTATGTATGTATGTATGTATGTATGTATGTATGTATGTATGTATGTATGTATGTATGTATGTATGTATGTATGTATGTATGTATGTAATGTATGTATTTAATGTATGTATGTATGTATGTATGTATGTATGTATGTATGTATGTATGTATGTATGTATGTATGTATGTATGTATGTATGTATGTAATGTATTGTATGTATGTATGTATGTATGTATGTATGTATGTATGTATGTATGTATGTATGTATGTATGTATGTATGTATGTGTGTGTGTATGTATGTATGTATGTATGTATGTATGTATGAAGGTATGTATGTATGTATGTATGTATGTATGTATGTATGTATGTATGTATGTATGTATGTATGTATGTATGTATGTATGTATGTATGTATGTATGTATGTATGTATGTATGTATGTATGTTAATGTATGTATGTATGTATGTATGTATGTATGTATGTATGTATGTATGTAATGTATGTATGTATGTATGTATGTAATGTATGTATGTATGTAATGTATTATTAATTTTTATATTGGTTATTAATGTAATTATGTAATGTTGATGATGTATGTATTAATGTAAATGTAATGTTAGTGTAAATGTAATGTAATGTAATGTAAGGGTTATGGTGTATGGTGGGGAAAAAGGTATGTAGGTAGGTAAGTAATGTATCAAGACTAACGTTTAGGCTTCCCGCTCTCTTTTTAACCAAGTGGTAAGAGCGGGGAGTGGGGGTCCTGAGGGGGGGCGAGACCGAATAACCATGCGTATTTGACGTGTCCCGGGGGGGGACTAAGGGGGGGGTTATCCTCTATCCTCTCTTAGGTATCCAATAGTCCTCTTTTTGGTATCCGACACGCCGAGCAATGTCGGCGGATGTATTCAATACGGTGTGGTTCGTTGTTTTCGATTGCTCGAGCTAAAAATGTGCTTGCTATACAACGATTGCAAGAAACACCAGTGTGCTTGAACAGGGTTACTGCAATCATGGCTATGGCGGTGATCCTCTTGACCAGTTGCTCCTTAATCTGAGAAGGGGACGCATTGGCCAACTCTTGCTTTGATGACGTGGGACGCATCTCGCCTGCTGTGTAGCTGTATTCCATGTTTTCTTCTCGCTTCCACACCTTGAAGGCGACATGCACATCATCCACGAACAACACGAACATCACCGCGATGGGAGGCCAAGGTGCTAACAGGTGAGCCAAACACCAATCACACGCCCAAAAACAACAACGGCACCTTTGTGGCGCCACCCTGAAGAAAATATTCTAGGTTCCCCAGTGGTGCCCTTTTACTCTTTCCTGGGGGAGGTTTCCCCTACTAAAATAGACTACAGAAGAAAAAGGTACCCTTATTCTAACCTCGCTACTGAGGGACCTAGAATATGTTATGTGTAAGCATTTCCCGACATGAGATGCTTGGTCCGGATCACAGCCTCGATGTTCAGCCCGTTCATTGTGGAGCTTCACTTCTTTGTTCTTGGCACATGTTTTCTTTTGTTTCTTTTGTTGGTTCTGTTCATTTTTAGTAGGGGGCTGCAAACGACAAAGTTGTCTGCTACCATACCCTCAGTAGTAGCTGAGTATTTGGTTTGTATTTTTGGGGGGTTCTGTTCATTTCTGGTAGGGGGCTGAAAAAAACAAAACACAAGGTTGTCCGCATTTTTTGCCACGCTGTTTGGGTTGTGGAGCTTCATCCCTTGGGTTCATCGACATCGCAGTGCCACTCTCAGGCCCTTCTTCGCCGAGCGCTTCGTGCGCGCGCGCTTCACGCAGCTGGCAACGCAGTGGGGTGCCGCGGCGGATCTGAGGGAGGCAGCAGTCCATATGGCTGTGGCTCAAAAAACCGGTACCCAAAATGGAAGACTGGTAAGTGGAAACATGGACCAAAACCTGCGGTTTGCCCCTCCTGTTTAATTTTAAGCCACACCCATATGCTTGTCTCGAAGATTATGTCTTAGGTTGAGTTTTTACAGGGCTCATTAAAGAAGTTATAGTTCATTTGATGGTCACTGCCACATGGATAACAGCTGGGTGCTAGGCGTGGGGGAGCGCTACTTGATGGCAACATGAGCGCTTTGGAAGGTGGTTGTCTTGTTGGGAAAATCAGCCGCAATGCTGGTTGTTTGACAGTAAAACGAGATATGGGCTTCGCCATGGTGAATGGTCCGTTTTACAAGATATTCCACAGGTTCGTCTTGATACTGCATTGGGCTCAAATTGGAAAGGGTCGCCTTTGATTTCCAAAAAGAAGCTTTTCGAAAGCAACCTTTGAGCAAGAACTCTTAAACGTCTCAAAGGGAGGGCCCCCTTGTTTTTGTGTCAAGCAGAAACCTAATAATAAAACCCTTGTTGTTCAATCAAAAAGACACCGTATGGAGGAAACCTAATGGAGACCCTAATAGTACAAACGTTTCCCGCAAGGCAACCTTGGTGGCCCCTAACAAGCACATCTGGGGAGCTTGGCTGGGTTCATGCGGTTTGCGTGGGTAATTTACAATTAGTATGGGCGATGTTTTTTTCTTGGGGAGGTCCGTTTCTAAGATGGAAGAAGGGATTGCTGTCCCAGAGTGTCCAAGTACCTTCTGAGGATGGCTTTTGGGGGGTCAAAAGGGGTCTAAGTACATCCTTAGAAGGAGTTGGACCCTTTGGGTGTTGTTTTGAGGATGAGATAGGTTGACAAGCCAAGTTTCCAGCATACAGGGGGAAATGCGGAATGCAACGCCGTATTTGTTCAGTTTCCATGCTTTAAGTTTTCAGTTGCAGGTGAGCCACAATCAACACCCGGGTAGATGAAGGTTGGTAAGGGATGCTCCCCGCCATCAATAGCTGCGGCCGCTTCTTTATTCTTGACATGGTTCTGGGTAGACCATTTTAATACCGGGTTTTGATTATGACTCAGGTGTTTTTGCATTTCATTTTGCTGGCCTAGGCCAGACAATTTATCCTTTTGCTTGTCGGTCAAAAGAACGCGTGAAGAGAATGTTGATCATGGGAGGGTCCTTGTATCCACGTCTCCTGGGTCCTTGGGTTTCTTTCAGAGGCGGACACAACCAACAACTTCTTCTGAAAATCGATCGTGCTGGTTTTGGACTCATCCGTTTCTCCACAAGGTACTGTTGCTAACAAGATGTCTCAGAATCGGAGGGCTCAACCTTCACGGAGTGCAAGATTTGCCATGCCACGCAAACGGCGGGGTTGCCCGGAGTTTTCATAGGAAACACATCAGGTGTTAGGTTGGTATTTCCTTTGCGCATCCCCCCAACCAAGTGCCAAACAAATGTGTAGCGGTATGGCTCGCCAACAAGAAGCTGGTGGTTGAGTGCACCCTTTTCCCCCTTTGGTTTGGGTTCCGCACCAGGCGTTGCCAAGCCGACACGGGGCTCCCTTCTGAATTTACGCAAGTCACTCTCAGCAACTGGGACTCAGAGTTGATGGGCTCAAGCAACAACGTTGTAACCATCTTGGTGGCGAGCCAAAAGTTCGGATTTTTGTTGTGTTCAACCTCCTTGCGAACTTTGGTTTCACATTTGGTCACAGACCAAAAAAAGTTCAGACTTTTCTTGGCCCATCCACTCAGGAAGCGAGGGGAAGGGGCTCCCCAACCTTTAAGCACGTAAGAAATCGATTGATGCTGCTTGCTCGAATCGAGGCGTCTCGGTGTACCGCTTCCGAATTTTCGGGAGCTGACGGACAAAAAGTGCGGGGGGTCCTTTTAGGGGGGGTCGCGGTCCATTCCGAAAGCACCTATGTGTTTTCTGCTGCCCAAAATCCGGTACCAGTTGGCAGTTACATAGGCTTTCATCTCCTGACAGGTGCACGATTTTATCCACCAGTTGTTCGTGTGAAGGCTGCATTTTTGTGTGGCGGGGTTGCCTTTGAAACCATTTAGAGGGGCCTGCTTAGAGGCTGACGCCAGCGTCCCAGCAGCGTGTGCAAATAAATTCATGAAGGTCCTTTTCGTAGACAGCCAATTGAAATGTTTCATGTTGATCAATGCTTCCTATGGGGTAGGTGGAATTCCGTAGCTGCGAAATTGAAGCGCTTTCTTCAATGTACTTTCACCCAATTCCCGACCTCGCTGGTCTGTTGGGCGGCCCGGCTTGGAGGTTACCCCACGTTTCACCCGAGCTTAGCCTCTGTTTGTATACAGCTGGGTTGTTCCCAATCAATTCTGAATGCATATGCGGTTTCACTTGTGGTGTGTACGGGGTACTGCTCAGAGCTAGGGCCAATTCCCGTAAGCTCTTTGATCGACGTGTTCACCGATTTTTCGGACGTCGAAGAAACAGGTTGGAGGGGTTCGAACTGGTGCTCACGCTGCCCCTTTTGCCAGGGTTTTGCGAAGGGTCGAAAGTCAGGCAAGAAGGAGTTCGCACATCTCCCGAGGCCTTTGCCGGCGGCATTTTCTAGGCAGACTTGAAGGGATGAACTGCCTGCCGCCAGCTGTCACCTTACCGAACCTTACTCCAGTGATATAGCACAATCATGTCAGCAAGGAGCATCAGACCCGTTCCGACATCATGACATTATTTTGGTTGGCAAACGTAGAGATGAGGAGCATACTGAAAATTGTTTTTGGCTCACATGCTAGATACATAAATATGTTTAGTGTTCCAAGGAATCTGGGGTCTCGCCCTGAACCAGTGCTTCAAATCGAAATCCAAGCCACCACTCCAAACCAACCAAAGCCAGGCTTCCAATCCAACCCACTAATCCAAACAAGACATATCTGTGATTAGCCATGGTTTTATTTCATCACCAGGGATGTCGCGGTAGTGACTGACCTGTGGTGTTTGGCTCAAGTTTTGGGTTCCGTCGCGCCTCGAATGGGCGTCGCCGAACCCCTGCGTCGACCGACGGCATCTCGGGGGAGAAAGAGACCTCGGGCCGCCGCCAGGTTGGTAGGGACCAGTCGTGCGGCCTGTTGTCGATCAAGGTTGCGGGTTAACCCTTTTCTCTTTTGGTTTGTTTCCTTTTGGTTGTTGTTCTCTGGTGTGTGGGAAACCCTGATCTTTGGGACCGGGGATTGGTTTGCTTTTGGGGAACCTTTCTTTTGTGGCTTGTTTACCCCAACTAACCCATTGCCCGGGCACAGGCTCGTGCCCGAATCACAGGTTATCAGCCGTAGGACTTTCCTACGCGCTTGAGACCATCAACTACAAGCTCTATGTCGACCCCACGATCTCGCAGGAGCGTCGTGGATGAGGAGGCCATCCTAGGTGGCCTCCGCTCAGGTGAGGACCTGCCGGACTATGACTACGAGGATTTCGAAGCAGGTTCGACAGGTCAGGACCGCAGGGGTGAAGATCCCGGTAGGGATACACCCAGGAGCCGTGGCAGGTACGCCGACGATGGAGACGATCGTATTTTCCGCCAGGCCACTGATGACGAGCAGACACGAAGGGTTTACTCCGGTAGGAGTGGCTCTGAATCAGGTCACAGGCGTGGACGTTTTGACTTCATCAGCATGGCGATGGACATGGCCCGCCCTCATTCGGATGACCCGGAGGCCATGCCGATTCGACCTCCGAGATCTCTTGTTCCAGGTGAGTCGCAGGTCTCGGATGAGTTTGAGAATAGGCCGCAGGGACCAGGGACTATGGTTCTGGCTCCGGGAGGTATCCCGGGCCGATCCATTGGTTCTCAAAATCCAGGTCAGTTTGATGAGCACGAGGAGCGGAAATTCACGGACTTCGGATACGATGATCTGTTGAAATCAACCGCAGGTTGGGGCAGTAGCTCAAAGCAGGGATCTGATGCCGGTAGGCCCAACCCTAATACTGCCAAATCTGAGTCTTATGATGGCGAAGGTTACAATTTTGCGGATGAGGAGGAGAGCCATTCGCGCCGAAATGCAGGCAGCCGTGCGACTGCAAGGACTAGTCCCGCCGCTGCCAAGTTTGAGGTCGATGATGATGACGAGTATGCCGCATTTGCGGATCGCCGTGATGAGGAGGAGGACCAACCACGACGAAATGCTAGGATCCGTGATGCTGCGAGGCCCAGGAGCCTCTCTCGTGGAGCCGCCAGGGACCTTCGCGTTGACAGGGATGCCCGAAGCGAGAGAGAGAGAGCCAGGGACAGTCGGGAAGTTCTTCGGGGATTGGAGGCCATTCATGACCGCGAGGGACCGGTAGGTCCCCCGGCTATTGGTGATTCCCCGAATGTTCCCCCCTTTCCCAACATCACATTTGGAGGTCCATTGAGTCAGAGAGACGTGAGCTCGAACCGGGTTACTGGTTCACCGAGGATCACTGAGCGGGCTGCCGATGTTGTTAGGACAGGTGCCAGAGATGGTCGGCTTGCCGATGCACTCGGGATCGAAGATCGTCCGTCGATCGCTAGCCCGTTAGGGCGAGATACCAGTGATCTTGAAACTCTGAGGTCTAGCAACGAGTTCACACCTCAATGGGGTTCGACTGCCAGGGAACGTAGTGTTTCTGCGAAAAGACCGTCACCTCTCGCCGCTGAGACCGATAGGTCAAAGGCGAGGAGGGCTAGCCCCTCACCGATTGATTCAACTCCGCAGGATGAGGAGATGCCCGATCCCGCTGATGTTCACATTCACTCCACCCCCGAGTCACGTGCATCCAACATTGATCCTCGATCTGGCGATAGCCGGAGAAGGGGATCTACCCCGAGTAGACCATCCAGGATTGATGATTGTCCCGTGGATGACCCCGGAAGACATGCCGGGGCTAGTGGGGCTCCTGAGAGGATCGAGATATCGACTCCTCCCGCCCTCAGATCCCAGTCTTCCGGCGAATCAGCTGACGCTAGGGCGAAGGAGGTGTTCGATTTGCACATCCAGGAGATGCTCGAGAGAGGTGAGGTTTCCGGCTCAGTCGCGAAGGCGTTCCACATCTTTGCTGACCAAATCAGGGTACTGAACGGTCAGGTGAGTTCCATGCGAAGGGAATGGAGCGACGAGAGTCAACGGACAAAGGACAAGGTCGATCGCCTGGCAGCTGAGGTTGCGACCCAATCTGATGCCGGGAGGATGCGAATGATAGTTCAACGGTTCGCAAGGGAAGTTATTCCCGATAGCAAGGCCATTGTGAGGCAAGCCATCGATGAGCAAGCCGAGGTCGTGGAGCAGAGGATTAACCTACTGTCCCACGAGGTCCATGAATCTGTCAGGGACAATGAGGCATCGACTGATCGGCTTCGCCTGATGATTCAGGAAAATAGTGAGGCTGCCCGCAGAAGCCATGCTGCTTCTGAGGACGAGACCCTTAAGGATTTGGACAAGCTTGAGAAACGGATGTTCTCGGTAGAGAAAACCGTTGGGATGCGGACACCGGCAGGTGTATGGAACCCGAATCCTGTCGCGAATCTGTCCGATAGGGCCAGCAGCAGTGTGGTTGACGCGAATTTCAGGGAGTTAAACCTGAAGATTGAGGAAGCTCTCCTTGAACACGAGAAGTTTGCTAAGTGGGCCTCTGAATCTATTGAAGGGGTCAAAGAAGAGCACACTCGTCTTGTTAATCGAGTGTCTAGACTGCAGAGTGGAAGGGGTTCTCAGGAGGTCGATAGACCATCAGGGCATGATTCCCCGCAGGACTGGCATGAGGCTGTTGACGAGATCAATCGGAAGATGCATGATCTGGCTCGAGGAATTCAACGTCAACGTCGGGATCATGACGACATCATTTCGAGGTTTGAAACCGTGAAGTCACATGTTGAACAGTATGAAGCGAGATCGGCAATTGTGAATCGGGTCGTTGATGGCATCCAAGGGCAGATCCGTAATCTTCCTGCCAGCAGTGACCAAGTGCAGCCTGCCGTTAGGCGAGAGCTCGGCACATTCCGGAGTACACTTGAAGGTGTTATGCGGAGAGTCAGCGCTATCGATGGTAACGTGCGTAACCTTAGCGCCGCGAACAACAGAATCATGTCCCAGCTCTTTGAAATGGAGGGTCAATTTGACGAGGCTGCTGGCATGCTTCAGGGTGTCCAGCAGATTAATGAAGCTCCTCCACAACCCAGAGAAAGACGGAATGTTGGTTACCATGCGTTTGCGGGGCAAGGACATAGGATCAGGTCACCGACGCCTACACCAGGGGAGGGTGACGGCCGGGGTACTGGCCTGCCGGTAAGACCAGGCGAAGGCGTTGTTTTGCCTGATCATGTTTTGCCGAATGTGCCCGATAGGGTCGATCCTTCTCGCGCAGACAGGCATCCCATCTATCCCGTTAGGGAGAGGTCCGACAGCAGGAGCAGGAGGGTTCGGGGGTTGCCTGACAGGTCGCATTCGCCACCGGAGCGTGCAAGGGGTGGTCCCCGCGCGCGCGCAAGGGGGGACGTTTCTATTTCCCCCAATAGGGATGCGGGTAGGAATAGGAGCCCGAGGCCTGCTGCCGTCCCCGATAGGGGATCTGAGGCCCGGAGTCGACAACCGAGGGGGGAGAGGCCGATCCGCGATAGCGGGAGCGTCTCTCCGAATTTTGATAGGCCAATCCGCGATAGCGGAAACGTCTCTCCGAACCCAGGTCGTCATTCAGGAGGTGGTGGGGATAATAGGGCCGATGCCGACATCCAGAGTCCTGGTGATGAGTGGAGGACTCCTGGGAGCAGAATCAGCGCCGACAACCAGAGTCCCGGCGATAGGCGAGGGACTGCTGGAGCTCCTTCGGATCGTGGACAGGCCTCAGCGCCGGCTGCAAGAGGGGCTCCCGGCGGTGATG